CTCAACTTAGAAATCACTACAGTAAATTACAATGGAAAATGAAGCAAGCATCCAAGCCTTTAAAAGGTTAGGAAATCTAAAAACAATCCATCCATCCAAACAGTAATTACTGACAGTATTTTTCATCTATGCAAGACTCTCCTACAGTAATTTAGGTAATGTTTTAGTACAAGACCTTGATAGTAAGGTTGTAACTTGTCCAACATACAAAGAGTATGTAGCCTATGGGTACCCCTGGCAAATTTTCTTAGTTGTTTTATAAACTATTATTTTAGGCATTTTCTTACTTCACCTGAAATAAGCTCTGTGATTTCTTGGATACTTTAATGCATTTTGATGTGTTCAAAGTAGATGTAGAAATTCAAATCTCAGGATGCAAGAGTTAATAGCATTCACAATACAAGCTGATTCTGATCTGAATATGATTCACCGGGTTGAATTTGTCTTGATTGATTGAATTTCTTCAACTGGCTTAAGGTGAAACAGTGAATGTATAGCACTTTATAAAATCTGGTGTAAAAGTTAAATATGTTAAAAACTCTCTGGAACTTATGAAAAGCCAGATACTAGCAAATGGAAAAAATAAAAAAAAAAGAAAATAACATTACAGAGTGAATATGCTTTGTAGCTTGTAATAAACTGTAAATATACTCAGGACTCTGGCAAAACACATGCTGTGGAATAGTTCAGTCTTGAGACATTCCTGAGAGGATCAAGGTTAAGTGACTAGAAAATAAGAGCAATGGATAATGGAGCATATTTTTTTTTTTGCAAGGTATCTTTAACGAGTGGATATAGTTAGTAGAGTTCTCTAAGATACTTGTGACTGTTAGGGCATGTTTTATAATGCTGAAGTGAGTTTAAAATGAAATTTTTACGCCTATGAACACTGGGCTGACCCGAGGACTAGACAGTAGAATTTGAAGAGAATTAGGCAGATGGTTTAACTGCTCCATAGAAAGGGATTTGTGTTACTGCCATTACTTTGGCTGTGAGAGTGACAAAACACAGCTGCTCATGAGAAGTCCTGCCTCTCTGCCCACTTCTAGGCAGTATTTCAAGTGACAGTTCTTTAATGAACGTAGTTATCTTTGCAGTTTTATGTATTCTTCTCAGTCTTCTCATTTATGTAGCACTCTGCAGCCATAGTTCAAGGTGAAATCCCTATGCCTGAGGAGTTCCTTGCTGCCTCCATTTTTAGATAAGACTACTCCAGGAAGAAGATGCAGTTTCTTTCATGATCGCTGTTCTCTGCTGCTTGTGCTGCATTTATTGCCCTCTTGGGCTGCCCACCTCTTGTCACAGGCAAGGATGGTTCTCTCATAGCAAAATGCTCCAAAAGAATTACAGTCGTGAAAAAGACATTAATAGCCATATTCTGTAACAAAAACAGGCGGCAAACCTTCCAATATAGTTTTTAAGGTTCATCAAAGAAAGAGCTAATATTCTAAAAATAAAACAAAAAAGAAGTTGAATGCTCTAGCTCCTTGAATAGTTAGAAAACAGCTGAAACAATCTAGGGTGGTAGGATTTATGAGACACTATTTCTGTAATTCAGTATACATGTTACTGCTATAGCCAAGATTTTTTCTACTTTGTTGGTATCCCCATGAATTTAGATATGGGTGAGTAGAATTGACTGACTTACAAACTTACCTAGTCTTCATGGAATAGGAGTTAGCATTCTGCTGCATTCCAGCATTCTGCTGGAAACTTTCTTTGTGGCTAAAAGAAATCATAATGGTGTATTTTGGAAAAGCAATAATGTTTTTATAGACTCTTATTTCTGATCCAATGTTTCACTAAATTGCAGTTCATAGGAAAACAGCAATGATCTTTGATAATTCTGTGTATTCCTGAGTGGTCCACTGAGAAAAGTGACAACATAAATATATTGGATTGTCTTTTACAGTTTCATCTTTTCTTTTGACTATTATAATGGGAATGAGGTTCAAGAGGTCCAAGAAATTAATGCCAGCTGGACTAGTAGCATGCCTGAGGTAAATACATATTGCAGATCTTAATGTAAAGATTTCCCTGGTTTTCAAATAGTTGCCATTTCACACCCGATTCAAGGCAGTATCGGTGGAAGTCCCTGTCATTCAGCTTAAGTGAAATTAGTTTGGAGGTCACAGTCCTGTTTCCAGATAACAGCTTTTTCATCTTACTAGACTAGATAGCTGATAAGAAGTGACTTTCTCAGCACAGAAAGGAGAGGTCAGCAATTAATTATTAATGCATATTGATAAGGCTTTTGGAAGAACCTTGCTAAGCCTTAGTACTTTTGAACACATACACATAAAATTAGTCTAATTTCATACAACACAGTCATCTTAAAAAAAAAAGGCCAGCACTTTGATTTAGAAGTGCTCTATTCAAAACTACTGGAAGCACAGTACTGCTGGAAACCAGGACATTTTGACCTGACCTAAGAACTTTAGTTAGTATTAATGCAAATTAAAAAAAAAATATTCTGACTGTTCCAACTGCTTTTTTGTTGCTGTTTGGCATTCTGGAAAATATAATCTTCTGAACTAATTTGGAATTAAATTATGGAGTAAGTTCAAAACTTTTTTCCCAATGAGTCTGTAATGCAAAAATTTACATCTTCCAAGTATAAATCAGAATCCTCATTTCCTGAAGGAATAGTAACTGTTGTTTTGTTGTTACCAGATTTAATATAACACCATTCTATTTTGCTTCAGTTACATACAGGGAGTCAAAAATCAGAAGCAAATTTTCAAGACGCAAAATTTAAGAATCAGGACTTAACTGGAAAATGTTATTGTCCATTGTGGATTGCTTTTCCAGCCTAGGTGGGCTTTGTTTTTCAAGACACTGAGACTGTAGATTTAGACACCTAAAAAGATGGCTTAATAGAGACTCTAGTGTCAGTTATTTATGAATGCACTGACGTTTAATGACTTTCACTGATTTTATTAATGACAGCCATATTTATGTTCTCTTGTTGGGTTTTTTTTTTTCAGCCTTCTGATGATTTTGAGGCTTGTTTTCATGCTGCTATAGGAGAATTTAGAACCGAATATGACTGCCACACCCATCAAACAGACATATTCTCCATACTTGAAAGACAAGTTTGATCACAAGTCTTATATTGCATTTATATTTTCTGTAAAAGATCTGTACCTGTTATTTGATTATTGACATGTGCTGATATTTCACAAGTTTTTTAAAAAACTAAAGCAAGTGTTTTGATGGTATATTTTGATCTACTTTCATTTAAGCAGTCAACTCATGGGATCTTTCTTTGTAAGCTTGATCTCTTTTAGGGGTGCAGAGCACCCCAGGAAATTGAGTTACTTTTGCACTGTATCTCTGAAAGAATATCTATAAATACATGTTTATGCTAAAAAGGTATCTTGTATTGAAGTATAATTTTGTAGTTTCTGAGATTAAATAATCAGCTCTAAATCAAAATGTCTTGGGCCTGTACTGTGTTGCACTAGAAAACCAACTTCCTTTCCAACACATGTTCTTGTTCCCCTTGTTCCAAATATAAAAAATCAGTGTTCAAATAAAATGTAAAATCTTCAAACCTTATCAGTTTTTTAAGCAGACGAGTGAGCCATTTTGTCAATGGAAGAGTCTGGTGCTCTGCTTTGTACTCGCTAGTGATTTAAAGCATGTACCATGCTGTAAATTACCAGTGACATGAACCATGGCTAATGTTCATCATGCTGCACAGAGAGGTTCCAAGCTCTCAGTATTCTGGAACAGGTTTGCCATTCCAGTTTCACACAGGTTATCTTGCTGAAGTCCCCCCACTGCCCATAAGCAGAAGAGACTGTTCAGAGACTGTTCAGTCAAAAACTGTTCAGGGAGTGAAGTTGCTTTGATTTATGTACAAAATAAATATTCCTGGGGTCTCAAAGCTTGGCTAAGACTGTCTTCTGGTGTACAGGGAATATCAGCAAAATCATTAGGAAGAAGTATGGGTGGGTGCGCTCTTGAAGACAATCAGAAATTTTGCTGCTTTTCATTTTTTTCATAACAAAGGTTGCTTATGAAGTTATTATATATCATAATATCACCTTTGTGATGGTTCCTAAATCATAGCACTTGTTTGGAGGACAGGAATAGCCCAGTGAAACGAGTGCTGTGCTGGGCACTGCTTCCAGCCACTGAGGTAATTTCAGTACAAACCTGTTTGGAGCTCAGCAGTGCCTAGGTGACTGGGGCACTTGTGGTTTGTACTTCTGAGATGCATGTGGCTTTTCTTAGGCACAAGTCAGGAAAGGAGTTAACTTTGTACACTGGCTGACTGCCTAATCACCTGGAGTCCTACTGAGGAGAAAGAACTAAGTGTAAAGGATGGTTTATAGCAATGTTCTTAAAAAAACAGCAATGGTTCTCATGAAATTAGGGTAAAGAATCTGACATAGTAGTGCATGCTTTAAGCACTGTTGAGGTAAAACTCACTCTTACTGAAAAGGTAAGCAGCCAGTGCACTTGGCTTTATAACTGTGGGAAGTGACTGCAGAAGGAAAAACTTAACATAAAAAACATTCAGGGGGCATTTGCTTCACTGACCAGCCAGCCAAGCAGCAAAAAGAAGAGCAAGGGAATAGGTGCTTTCAGTGGATGAAAACCATAGCAGGCCAATTAAACACAAGGACTTTGATCCTTCAGTGAAAAAAACTTGTTCCTAAGAGATGCATGTGGGGATTAGGAAAGTTTCTTACCTCTGCCCATAAACTTAAAAGGATCATGAATTTTAATTTTTTTTAAAGGTTTTATTTACTTAATTTTTAAGCTGTGAAATACAGCAGGGAGACTGAACTTTCTAGGAGACCACCTAGAGAACTAACCCAGAAGATTCTAGGCCTGAATTTAAATGACTTCTCAATTTTCACAGTGTGGCTCCTCTCTTCCGCAGTTTATAAAAAGGGGGTTGGGGATCATGTGGCTTTTCTACAGTACTCCAGAAGCTGCAGTTAAACATTTTACCCTACCAGGCATGCACTGGAATAGAACACACACAAAGTGTCAGCATATTTTATTTCATATAACTGCCTCAGGAAATTTTTCTTTCTGGACTCAACAGGTCCAAATTAGCCTTTTACTCTAATTTAAAGCTGTATTCACAGTGTATTGTTTCAACACTGGCCATATGATGCAAGTTACAGAGCACATCTATGCAATTTACACTTACAAGGCAAGCTCTGGTTAAATACTACAGCTGGGTTATCTTCATCAGATTAGATATTGAATATTTTCCTCACAACAGCAACAAACTTCTCATCTGTTGGTGGCTTCCTCGGGCTGCCAGGCTGTAAGAATTTTTTGATTGTTGGAATGTTGCTGATTCTTCCTTTAAAAGCCTGTAAGAAGCAACAGTAGAGTCAATGAGACTAAGGAAATTATAATTCCATCCTTCATATCTTAAAGATCAGGTGACTTGGATTTTTACTTGTCAGATGTACTTATTAAATAGAAAAAGGCAGTAGCTTCTTCTGATCTGTAATGCTGGTGCTATACCTTAGTTTCCCAGACGGGAATGGGAGAAATTAATATTAAAGAGTTAAGATTCATCTAGTAAAAAGTGGAAGAAAAAAAAACCCAGATTCTGGATCCCAATCCTGCAGATATATTTGAGGGGAAAAAAAAAAAGGAGACAAGGACAGGAATACTTCAGTGCAAAGCACTACAGAAGTCAAGACATACGAAACTTAACTGCTCTTTGTATATGATTTCTTAAAAAATTATTTTTGCTGGCAGAAGGAAAAGGACAGGGACTGCAGACACACCAGGCCACAGATTTTCCTTCCAGGTGTTATTTCTGTGTTTGAAGACATGGAAGTAGCAGTTAAAGGACGAAATTGGTAGCACTAATGAGTGAATTCCTGCCAGCTGAGAACAGCTGCAAAAAGCAGAACTGGAGAAAGGTCCTGCCAGCAGTTCTGGGGCAAGGCAGTGCATTGAGCACAGGTTTTTGTAGTCAAACAGACCACAGAAGTGTCAGTACAATGGCTCAAAAGATGTAAACATCCATTAAACTTTTAACAACAGTCAGTGAAATTTGTTTGTTACCTTCCATATTGACATCAGATGATTACTAACCTGTAGCAGAGGGAATGCAGACAGTACATCAGCCTTACATTCTTCTACCATTAAAATGGCTTCCAGCAGATGGACATCTGCCCAGCTTAATTTGTTGCCAACAAGATAATCCTGTCCATGATCTTTTAAGGCCTATAAAGTATGAACAAATAAAAAAAAATCACATGGTATGTCACAATTTTATCTAGGTATTTAATTGCAGACAGATTTCTAAAAAAACACAGCAGAGCAAAACCATGCAAGAACCTATGAAGTTAGAAAGTAATAAATATTCTTTAAACAAAAAAAATTAAATCAGAATTCATGTTTCAGTGTGTATGATCCCATCTCTCACTCTAGCCTATTGCACCAAGTAGCTGTATACCAAGTCCAGTACCGCAAGAAAGACTTAATCATACAAAAGAAACAGGACTAAAGTAATTGGAAGAGGTAGTCAGGCCAGTTTACCTGTAAGCACATCTCAAATTTTTAATAAAAAAGTTAAGTGAATTTCCAGATGTTTCAGCAAAATTTGAGACTGCTGATTAGTTTGAAATATGTCCAGAACAAAGGAATACAACCTTCCCACCCTTTATCCCATAAGGAAGGACTCCTTTATGGCAAACTGCTGATGCAAGAACCACAGCTTGCTAAAGCTACTAACAACTGTAGCAGACCAGTTGAGATGAATGTTGCAGAACAGCTTCAGAGCAGTTACCAGCTCTCCAGCCTACTTCTGTCCTGACTATCACCCTCCCATCAGGAGCAAGAGAAGGGCATGTCTGTGCCCAAGCCACACCAAGGCTACTCTTAAATAATAAATGGGCAGTAAGACATCAGTCTGTGACTCTGGAAGCCAACTGCTTCTCCAGGCCCATCTGCCAGTTCTACCATAGAGGCAGCAATCACGGGCAGAGTCACAGCTGACACCTTCACGTAATTATTTCCTACAGTGCTCTAACAAGGTTCACCACAGCGTGTTTGTCATACTGCATGGAAACTCCCGAACACAGCATGTAATCTGATTGCCTGCAGGGTTTTATATTGCCTTTTGCTGCTCCATCTGGCTGCTGAGTGTTTTAAGTAAACACTCCCAGCTAGGTATGTTTCCTGTCAGCTTGCTGAATGAGTAACACATAGACTGCAAACCCTGATAAGCTGAATCAATAGACATCTTAAACAGCTGGTACAGAAAGAAAATTATTAACCATTTTAACAAAATTAACTAGGCTAAAATAATGGAAAAGTTCAGCTGTATCTTTACCATAAGCAAACAAGGATTACTTTAAAGACTCTCCTACATAGAGCATACATGCTAAAACATATCACAACAGTAGTTTATACTACCTAGGCAGAGACTTAGAGAATTTTGGTGCATTTTTTAATTGTTTAATAACTTAAAATACATATCAAACTTCTAATCTTTTAAAGATTAGTGTGTGTAATCAATATCACTCAGCACAGCCCTCCATTGGTATGGCAGTGGATATATATGAACTCTGATTACAGAAGTGCTGGATTATGTCATTTGTATAATTATATTACAGGACAGTCTCTGTGGGTTTTGTTTGTGCAATTTAAGGCTCTAATAAAGTGGGACATGAAATTGCATCAAGTTCTGTATTTTTTTGAATGGACTTCAGCTGCCTGGTAACCAAGGCTTCAAGCTGGAAACCCAGCTCAGCTCTGAAACAACACAGCTTTGTGTCCTTGGCAGATTTCTGAGGAGACCACTGTGCCCTGAAAAAGCACTGTGAGAAAGTCTGTACAGCGCAACTACACATGGCACAAAAGGAAGAGTTACAAACAGAAGCAAACTTGTGAGATATGCATCACAGTTGGCTCAATTCAAACAGGAAAATTTTTACACAAAATAAAGTTCAAATATCCTTATAGAAGAAATAAAACAACAGAACAAACAGCAAGCTGGTAGAAAAGGAAATTCAGTAACATCCAGGCAATGTTCCAGGGAGAAGAAAAGAACAATCCATCCCCTCCTGACCAACTCCTCCCTAGCCAAGAAAGCCTCTTGATGTGCTCTAAGGGGCCTCCCTAGGCAAGAAAGCCTATTCATGTGCAAGCATACCAAGACCTTCCCTCACAGCTCAGGCTAACTAGCCAGTAAATAATTGCTTAATGCTTTCTATGCTACATCTATCTGTGCACACCTAAGGATGCCCAAGTAGCAATTCAGAGAATGAAAATCACGGTCTCTAAGTATAATACATTTAAGCAATGGATTTAAGGAAGATCATATAATTGGATCATTAGCTATAAAGTGTAAATATATTTAACTTTGAATAGCAAAAATAAAGGAGGCTGATTGGAGACCTTATTGCTCTCTACAACAACGTGACAGGAGGCTGTAGTAGGATAGGGGCCAGCCTCTTGACCCTGGTAACAAGTGACAGATCAAGAGAAAATGACTCAAGTTGCACCGGGGGGATTTAGATTAGATCTTAGGATATTTTTGTTCATGTAAAGGGTTGTAAAGCACCGGAATAGACTGTCCAGGGAATTGGTAGACTCACCATCCCTGAAAGTGTTCAAGAAACATGTGGATATGTCACAGGAGGACACAGTTTAATGGTGAATATGGTGATGGTGCTGAGTTGGCAATTGGGCTTAATGATCTTTGGAAGATCTTTTCAACCTTAACAGTCCTATAACACATTACACTTCCGGACAATAAGTATTGAAGGTTGGCAGAAGTATTGAAATGGTGCATTTAGGCAAAACACTGGGAGCCATCAGCCACTAAGCTAGGTTGGAAAAGAAAGACAGCAAGAAGACCCAGTACTTATACCAGCCAAAAATTGTTTTTGGCCTTCTTTTCACATTGCTGGATATTGGCTCCACCATACCTTTCTAGAGTTGTACTGTCACTTGCCTTATGGAAAGTACATTTATGGGGACAGGGGAGTGGGGTAGGAGGGGGAGCCTGGAACTCACTGTCTTTGTGAACTACTGGTGATTTATAACTTACCTTTTCATAAACAGGAAAGTACCTGGCTGTAGCTCGTTCAATGATTAAGGCAAGATTCTTTTCTTTTGTATCAGCTGGTTGAAAAGGGAGATACATGATCATTCCCATTAGGTCTGTAGTTCCCTCCACGTACATATCAATCCTGAAACAAATGTTTTTGTTACACATATATCATTCGAACTCTCCATTTTGGTTACTTTCCTGAAATACAATGCTGCAGTGATCACTGAGTAAAATGTTTCTTAATGAAAGTAACATAAGACACTGGTTTATTTTCTTGGTTCTTCCACTTCAGGAAAACTTCCAGTTTTTTTCAAAGCACAAATTGTGAAACAGGCCAACAGTGCATGCAGTAAGCAAGATTAAAGGCTGCAATTAATGTATTTGAAGTGGAATTCATGCTGTTTTCCATCGATAATCTGTTCATTTATGCTGTGGGAGAAAAGACTGCATATGCAAACCACTTTAGGAAAAAAAAATAGTTTTGAAGTCTAATCATGAGAGGATGCTGGCTACCAGTTAATAATCTCCATAAAGTCCATAATAATCTCCACAATCTCTGGAGTTGCCCTTCCATTCTCACAAAATAAACCCTCTACAGTGAGTGACAGTCTGTTAGGTATACTCACCTATACGTGACTATACATTTAGGCAACGTTCTTTCTGTTAGTATTAACAGTCATGGAGGAGCGTTAGTAAGTGGTACATTGTTACCATACCAGGCTCTCTCCTTCAGGTCCTTCCCATAGAGATTGTACTTTGCTGCAATGTAGCTGAGGATGGCTCTGGTCTGCACCATCCTCATCCCATCAATCTCCACCATGGGCACCTGCTGAAACAGCAGGACTCCATCTAGGAAAGAAAAAGGAGCAAGCTACTCAGACTGCTGAAATACTACACTGAAAATAAGGAAGAGACCTGGTAAGAGACCAAGACATTTCCTATTCTCAGGGATGAAAGCATCCACAAGGAAGCAGCTCTTCTTTACAGGTCACATCATATTGCAGGTCTTAAAAAAAATACCTCCTGTTGTTCTTTTGTTATATTTGTGTGAACTTATGTTTAGGGTACAGTTTACAGACTCACCACTGCGCAATTTTTCTAAGTCTTCTTTCGTTTCTATGAATTCTTCCTCAAACTGAAAAGCAACAAGAGAAAACAACAGTCACTCCAAAGGTAGTGGAGAAGTGGAAGGAAGTCTGGCAGAGTCCACCTCTCCACACTATTCTCCATACTTTTCTCATTGTGTTGACCCTGCCGAGGAATCCTTTCAGTTCCATTCAGTAGCTGGGTGAGCAGCTGCAGTTACAGCTGCTCATGGAGCTCTGGGAGCCCAAGGCAAGAGCTGGGAACTGCCTCCCTTTGTACGACAAAGGGCACAGGGACCTGTGGCACTGGCCAGGTGAAACACAGCAGGAGCCCACAACCCCAAACCCTCACTTAGACTGCGAAGGTGTAAAAGACCCAGGGTTTCCAGGTCCCTCCCTGGAGTTTGCTTGACCTGTTACTCTGTTGTTGCACCACAATTAAATTATTTTAAGGGCCGATGGAAAGGCTCCTGGATGGTCAGACAGGAAAGTTTCCTTAACAGACCCCCTGCTTCATCTCTGCTTCAGCAAATAACCCAAGAGTTTGGTGTCCCCAGCCCCACAAGACTGTACAAAGCATTATGCTCCAGAAAGCACTTCCTCATTATAAAGACCAGAATCACCTGCATGAACCATAAATGGATACCAAATCACTTACTTAAAAAGCAGCTGATGCCACATGAAATAGTGAAAAACTTCTTGTACATTATGCCTCTCTTACACAGCATTTATCTCCCTCTTTAATCCACTGGATTTTTTTAATTTTTTTTTAATGAGGACATTTGAATGACGACAAGATCTTGGTTTCCTCAGCACTCATGCTTTGTAAATTCTGTCAGCAACATTCTCAAGTGACCACCATTTAAAAAAGCCTTTTATTTCCAACAGAGTATAAATAGTTTCAAAAAAACATATTCAAACAACAACTTAATGTAGAAATTAATGTCTTAGGATGGCCTTCACCTGATGTGAATCTAGATAGATCCCCTAAAACTGCCTTTGGGGCAGATCTGCTGATTTATTCTACTCAGGTCCTGACCCAAAGAACAAATGGCACTTTGTTTGGAGAGAGTGTTCAAAAGTTTTCATGTGGTATGCATGGTCTTTCAGTGGAGAAGACTCATGGGATACAGGGAAGTTATAAGCATTGAGAAAAAGTCACAGTTTTGTCTGTAGCAATAATTTACAATCTCAGCTTAAAGTATGTTTCAAAAATGACACCCATCAGTTCTTTTTGTATCTTAAAATCTCTTTACTGTGCAACTATTGCTCAAGGAATGCATGAAATACAAGACACAAGAGTGTCTCACTCAATCTAAGCATTCTGCATCACAATATGTGATGATGTGCATATCCCTAAGTACAGATGCAATTGGGAAACCCTTCTAGAGAATATCTATTTTAATCATAAATCACTTTATAAAAAAAAGGTACAAACCTCAACCCCAGCTGCTGCTAACAGCCATCGGATGGACTCCATCTTCCCCCTTCCCTTGGTGTAGTGCAGCTTGGGTTTCCCCGCCATGATTTCAGAGTTCTTGTTTTCCTGATAAAATCAAGATGGTGATCTTATAGGAAGCATGCTTTAAATTAGCATTTTGAATGTCCCACTACAAATGACTAAATACAGTTGGATGAATGTGAAGGTAGAAGAACTATCAAGTCCTACACACTTGTGCTTGATGCAACCAAATTTCTTGTGGATTAATGGAAAAACTACACACTAACAGAATAGGCAGCCATTCAGCCACATCATCACAATAAGAATCTCCTAAATGATATATTATTGTAGTTTTAACAGCTTACTGCAGTTTTACAACCAAAGCAGAACTGTAGGGAATTTCTGAATTAACACATTTTTAACCTTGCAGTGATGCTATCTCTTCAGTAGGTGTGAGATTTTGCCATATGTCATACCATACTTGAAAAATGTACTATATCGAATGGATTCCAAAGAACACCAAAGCTAGTGTCACCAGTACTATTTTCACCTCTCTGATATGACAATTCAGAGCCCTGTGCTCCTGTGCTTCTGCAGATATGCTTTTAAAAGCAACATATTTCACCAGGCCTACTGCGTTCCCTATTTAGCTAGTTCTGCCACAGTCAAACTGTAAAGGGATTTATATTCTATCTGTCCTGAAAACTTAACTTCAAAACCAAAAACCAAATGGATGGGACTGACCTCTGTCGGGCAGATAAGGCCTGGGCAATGCCCCTGGTGGCAGGGGACTCAAGTCAGCCCACCAGATGGCACTGGGATGAAACACTTTATCCTTTCAAATTTCCCTACCATGTGCAGTCACATGCCAGTGTATGACATTGGCAGCTGATGTGAGCTTGCCTGATCTTGGAAACAAAGCTAACACTGTACTCTTATCACTAATGGGTCACAAAAGAATGTAGCAAATTTCATAAGAGGACAGAGGCACAGACTAACAGAATGCTTCATTGTTAAACCAAAGTTTTATCTGTTCACTGGCAGGCTTATTTATGCTTGCATAGATTTCACAATACATAGCTGAACCACAGAGTAAAAATTTTGGCCATAATCCCAAGGCATCAATAAAGAGGCACAAACAGCACAACAGTGACGGGAGACTTGGCTCTCTCCACTGAAGTCCTTTGTGATGGGTGCTATCTTCCACAGGACCTACAGCACACAGCTATCATTCTGTTAGGAACTGGACTCAAAGGAGAAAGAGGTGCCTCCATCCAAAATGCAGCTCTTCCAAACCACTGCTCAGCTTCCACCTAGCCCTGGCAGCGTCTGTGCCCAGATACCTCATTCTCTTGTAGCAAATTTCTCCTGATACAAAAAGATGTGCTTGTCAACAGATCATGTCTCGAGTGGAGCTGGTAGTTGATGCCTAGCTAGATTCCTGACACCTGAACAGCAACAAGGCACTCGGAAAAGTGGCAGAGCTGCCTTACCAGGCCCTTACACATAAGACCATGACCTACACTTCATTTCTATTTCCCATGTATGACTTACACTATAACAAGTAAGAGAGCTCTTGACCATCTGTACTTCAAAAATACTTCATTCCCTGATGTTCAGAAAGTAGGTGTTGGTCTCAATTTCATCAGAGAGGAGAACGGCACTTAAACCGTCACAGATTGGGCAAACACTCTAAACTGCAGCACATGAGTTCAAGGCTGATAAACACACTCTAAAGGACAGGCTAGCATAAGCAAAAAGAGCAAACATCCTTGACCTCTCCACAAAGCAGAGCTGCAGCTGATAAAATTCAGCCCACCTAGAGCCCTGACTACTAGTCTGAACTCACTGCTCCACTCAAAACAGCCGGGAATTTCTTCCAGCAAATGCACTGCTAAAGGTCCGAATTTGGGGTTTAGGCTGAACACTTACATAGGGCAGAAAACTATTTTGGTGATCCCCTTATGGCTCTGTAATGAATGTCCCTTTGTAAAATAGTGAGTAGTGACAAAACAGTTGAAAAATTGGTAAATTGTATCTCTTGAATAGCAATAATTAACCTGAAAATTAATCACAAACTTTCTTGATATTTTAGTGCATCAGACCTTCCTTGGACCACAGGCACGCAGGTGTCAGAGAGGCAGCTACTGCTGTGATCGCTGTATTTAAACCCCCCCACACTGTTTGGTCGAAAACAATTCAGGCACCAGGCTTTCAGTGAGAAACAAGTAAACGAATTTAAGCAGCAAGGTCATAATCTGATCCAGGATCTTAAACTTTCTTCCTAATTGGATTTGGGCCCCATAGCAGTTCTCCACAACGCTTTGTTGCTCGAAGCCGTCCCGCACGGGGCAGTTCCACAGGACAACCTCAGAGCAGAGCGCTGCACCGCCCGGCCCGGCCTCCGGACCGTCCTCAGGCTGCAGCTGCTCACCAGCGGGTGCTTTTCACTGGGGCTCGGGCCAAACCCGGATTAGAAAAGCTTCCACAGCCCGAGCCAGGAGGAGTGTCTGGACGAGGGGAAAGGCAAAGTACTCCCAGAAACTGCAAAACTTGCACTCCAAAGAGCAGTTCCTCTCCAGTTCCCCCCCGATCCTACCCCGAGCCAAACACAAACCCTCTCTGTCCCACCCAGCCGCCCGTCTTGGTCCCTGCTGCAGGAGAGAGGCTGGGGAATAACTGCTGACCAGCCTCCCTGGAGCAGCATGGCAGGACGTTCCTCCAGGGCCAGCCGGTCTATCACGCACCTCGCCCTTTGCCCTCCGGGCAGGAGCCTTGATCCCGGCAAAAGCCACACACTGCACCGGGCTGGCACGGCCCGCCCGACCCCCGCCACCACCCCCGCCCGCCGCCGCAGTACCGTCTGCCCGGGCCGCTCCGCCACCTCAGCACCGACACGGCACCGACACAGCACCGACACGGCACCGACACAGCACCGACACGGCGCCCGGCCCCCCACACAGAGCCAGGCCCCGCCGACCCGCGGCCCTCCCGCCCCGTCCGGCGGCCGCTCCTCCCCTCGGCAGCGGCCCCGGCCTGGCCGTGCCCGCTGGCTGCGCCCGCCGCCGAGACGCAGCTCAGGGAAAAGCCACCTCGGCCTTGTCCCTGCAGTCTCACGGGTTTCTCTTGCAAAATGTGGAATATGTAAACACTTTCTTGAGAAAAGCCGTGCTTTATGTTTGATCTTTGTATACTTTCAAGCCTAATCAAGAAAGAAGTTCTAACCGGTGAAACAGAGAGCAGCTACCAAACAAGGTCTAAGTGATGTCCAGCTGTGGGAAAGAGAAATTATTTATCAGGAGAATTGCATTGCTAAGGGTTGAACGTGTTTTAATGATCTCAAACCTAGGGGAGTTTAACAAGGCTTGGAAAGAAGGATGTACCTCTGATAGTGGATACATAAAGTACATAATTTACGGGCCACAAGGGCATTTGGCAGAACTCCCAAGATAAGGAAGAAACTAATAAAGCCCACTCAGCAACTGTGCTGAGATCAGCTCTGACCGGATAAAAGGTAATTCAGTCAGGGAGAGATTCCTGCAAGAAACCCAACTCAAAAGAAGTACTGAGCATGCAAACGAATTAGCATGAGAAGAGGGAGAATCGTTAATCGATAGAAGATGGAATACTAGTTATTAAGAGAACTAGGCAACTTGTAGGCAATGAACATTAAAGCCTTTGCTTGCTAAAATGAATAAATAGTAAAAAGTTGTCCATGATTTTTGGAATACCACGGAGCAACCAGGCTTGCACAACTCTGAAATTAATAGTCAATGCCACTTCTAGTGTGTAATTATTGGTTTGTTGTGCACTGAGTAACAAACCCAGGTTTACTGAACAACATTTCCACTGGGCTGGCTCTCAGGGTGCTGAAGAACATGGGTTTATTTCCTTTCTTGATGACAAAAACCGGTTCCAGCTACATGGCATTCCTTATGTCCTAGGATGACATTATGGTGCTTGTATCTCCAGTCGTGTGTTCTGTTTGTGCTTGGTATTATGTCCTGTGCTTTCAGGACTGAATCTGAAAGTGAGTGAAGGTTTGTTTTGTCTTGTTATCAGCCGGCTCATCTCCCCCATGGTCTGTGTTTAGGAGAGGCTTGCTCTGCTGGCTTACTCGCTGGCTTTTTTTTGTTTTGTTTTCACTTTGCTCTTGCTTTTGCTTATTAGTTAGTTCAGCTAGGCAGTCCAATTTTTCCTCTGGACTGTTTTGGTTTTTTTTTTTCTCTCCCTTTTCTGAACCTGTTCCAGACGGGGACCTGGGAGACACCAAGAAACACCGGGAGTCTGCATTCTATGACCTGCAGCAGTCATCCCCCAGCGCAGGAGACTGATAACTGGGCGACCACTCGCCGGAGAGACTTTCTGAGTTTGTCATCCGGTGTTGGTTTTTTTTTGCTGGGGAGTGTTTCGTTTGTTAAATAAACAAGGTTTTTTTACACTCCACTCTGAGGAAATTCTTCCTGAACCCGGTGGTGGGGGGAGGAGTCGTGGGGGTTTGCTTTCTGGGGGCTCCTTTCAGAGGTTTTCCCCCAAATTTGCCCTAAACCAGGACACTTATGAAGAAACTGTCGGCGTTAGCAAGAGCTACAGTGCCCTGAGTTTACCCAGCTGAAAACTGCCAGTGTCTAGTTGTAGCTGGATTTAGGGC